TGTGGTGGTTGTGGTGGTTGTGGTGGTGGAGATTGTGGTGGTTGTGGTGGTTGTGGTGGTTGTGGTGGTGGTTGTAGTGGTGGTTGTGGTGGTGGAGGTTGTGGTGGTTGTGGTGGTCGTGGTGGTGGAGGTTGTGGTGGTGGTTGTGGTGGTTGTGGTGGTCGTGGTGGTGGTTGTGGTGGTGGTTGTGGTGGTTGTGGTGGTGGTTGTGGTGGTTGTGGTGGTGTTTGTGGTTGTCGAGGTTGTGGTGGTCGTGGTGGTGGAGGTTGTGGTGGTGGTTGTGGTGGTTGTGGTGGTTGTGGTGGTTGTGGTGGTGGAGGTTGTGGTGGTGGTTGTGGTGGTTGTGGTGGTGGAGGTTGTGGTGGTGGTTGTGGTGGTTGTGGTGGTGGAGATTGTGGTGGTTGTGGTGGTTGTGGTGGTGGAGATTGTGGTGGTTGTGGAGGTTGTGGTGGTGGTTGTGGTGGTTGTGGTGGTGGTTGTGGTGGTGGTTGTGGTGGTGGAGGTTGTGGTGGTTGTGGTGGTGGTGGTTGTGGTGGTTGTGGTGGTGGCGGTTGTGGTGGTGGTTGTGGTGGTGGTTGTGGTGGAGGTTGTGGTGGTCGTGGTGGTGGAGGTTGTGGTGGTTGTAGTGGTGGTTGTGGTTGTGGTGGTTATGGTGGTTGTGGTGGTCGTGGTGGTGGAGGTTGTGGTGGTTGTGGTGGTGGTTGTGGTGGTTGTGGTGGTGGAGGTTGTGGTGGTTGTGGTGGTCGTGGTGGTGGAGGTTGTGGTGGTGGTTGTGGTGGTTGTGGTGGTCGTGGTGGTGGTTGTGGTGGTGGTTGTGGTGGTTGTGGTGGTGGTTGTGGTGGTTGTGGTGGTGGTTGTGGTGGTGGTTGTGGTTGTGGAGGTTGTGGTGGTGGTTGTGGTGGTGGTCGTGGTGGTGGTGGTTGTGGTGGTTGTGGTGGTTGTGGTGGTGGAGGTTGTGGTAGTGGTTGTGGTGTTATGGTGGTCGTGGTTGTGGTGGTGGTTGTGGTGGTGGAGGTTGTGGTGGTTGTGGTGGTTGTTGTGGTGGTGGTGGTTGTTGTGGTGGTTGTGGTGGTCGTGGTGGTGGAGGTTGTGGTGTTATGGTGGTCGTGGTTGTGGTGGTTGTGGTGGTGGAGGTTGTGGTGGTTGTGGTGGTTTTGGTGGTCTTGGTGGTTGTGGTGGTGGTTGTGGTGGTGGTTGTGGTGGTTGTGGTGGTGGTTGTGCAGGTTGTGGTGGTGGTTGTGGTGGTTGTGGTGGTGGTTGTGGTGGTGGTTGTGGTGGTTGTGGTGGTGGTTGTGGTGGTTGTGGTGGTGGCGGTTGTGGTGGTGGTTGTGGTGGTGGAGGTTGTGGTGGTGGTTGTGGTGGTTGTGGTGGTGGAGGTTGTGGTGGTTGTGGTGTTATGGTGGTCGTGGTTGTGGTGGTGGTTGTGGTGGTTGTGGTTATGGTGGTTGTGGTGGTTGTTGTGGTGGTGGTGGTTGTGGTGGTGGTTGTGGTGGTCGTGGTGGTGGAGGTTGTGGGGTTGTGGTGGTTGTGGTGGAGGTTGTGGTGGTTGTGGTGGTTTTGGTGGTCGTAGTGGTGGAGGTTGTGGTGGTTGTGGTGGTTGTGGTGGTTGTAGTGGTGGTTGTGTTGGTAGAGGTTGTGGTGGTTGTGGTGGTTGTGGTGGTCGTAGTGGTGGAGGTTGTGGTGTTATGGTGGTCGTGGTTGTGGTGGTGGAGGTTGTGGTGGTTGTGGTGGTTTTGGTGGTCTTGGTGGTTGTGGTGGTGGTTGTGGTGGTGGTTGTGGTGGTTGTGGTGGTGGTTGTGCAGGTTGTGGTGGTGGTTGTGGTGGTTGTGGTGGTGGTTGTGGTGGTGGTTGTGGTGGTGGAGGTTGTGGTGGTTGTGGTGGTGGTTGTGGTGGTTGTGGTGGTGGCGGTTGTGGTGGTGGTTGTGGTGGTGGAGGTTGTGGTGGTGGTTGTGGTGGTTGTGGTGGTGGAGGTTGTGGTGGTTGTGGTGTTATGGTGGTCGTGGTTGTGGTGGTGGTTGTGGTGGTTGTGGTTATGGTGGTTGTGGTGGTTGTTGTGGTGGTGGTGGTTGTGGTGGTGGTTGTGGTGGTCGTGGTGGTGGAGGTTGTGGGGTTGTGGTGGTTGTGGTGGAGGTTGTGGTGGTTGTGGTGGTTTTGGTGGTCGTAGTGGTGGTGGTTGTGGTGGTTGTGGTGGTTGTAGTGGTGGTTGTGTTGGTAGAGGTTGTGGTGGTTGTGGTGGTTGTGGTGGTCGTAGTGGTGGAGGTTGTGGTGTTATGGTGGTCGTGGTTGTGGTGGTGGAGGTTGTGGTGGTTGTGGTGGTTGTTGTGGTGGTGGTGGTTGTGGTGGTCGTGGTGGTGGAGGTTGTGGTGTTATGGTGGTCGTGGTGGTTGTGGTGGTTGTGGTGGTGGTTGTGGTGGTTGTGGTGGTGGTTGTGGAGGTTGTGGTGGTGGTTGTGGTGGTTGTGGTGGTGGTTGTGGTGGTGGTTGTGGTGGTGGAGGTTGTGGTGGTTGTGGTGGTGGTTGTGGTGGTTGTGGTGGTGGCGGTTGTGGTGGTTGTGGTGGTGGTTGTGGTGGTGGAGGTTGTGGTGGTCGTGGAGGTTGTGGTGGTTGTGGTGGTTGTGGTGGTGGAGGTTGTGGTAGTGGTTGTGGTGGTTGTGGTGTTATGTTGGTCGTGGTTGTGGTGGTGGTTGTGGTGGAGGTTGTGGTGGTTGTGGTGGTTGTTGTGGTGGTGGTGGTTGTTGTGGTGGTTGTGGTGGTCGTGGTGGTGGAGGTTGTGGTGTTATGGTAGTCGTGGTTGTGGTGGTTGTGGTGGTGGAGGTTGTGGTGGTTGTGGTGGTTTTGGTGGTCTTGGTGGTTGTGGTGGTGGTTGTGGTGGTGGTTGTGGTGGTTGTGGTGGTGGTTGTGCAGGTTGTGGTGGTGGTTGTGGTGGTTGTGGTGGTGGTTGTGGTGGTGGTTGTGGTGGTGGAGGTTGTGGTGGTTGTGGTGGTGGTTGTGGTGGTTGTGGTGGTGGCGGTTGTGGTGGTGGTTGTGGTGGTGGAGTTTGTGGTGGTGGTTGTGGTGGTTGTGGTGGTGGTTGTGGTGGTGGAGATTGTGGTGGTTGTGGTGTTTGTGGTGGTGGAGATTGTGGTGGTTGTGGTGGTTGTGGTGGTTGTGGTGGTGGTGGTGGTTGTAGTGGTGGTTGTGGTGGTGGAGGTTGTGGTGGTTGTGGTGGTCGTGGTGGTGGAGGTTGTGGTGGTGGTTGTGGTGGTTGTGGTGGTCGTGGTGGTGGTTGTGGTGGTGGTTGTGGTGGTTGTGGTGGTGGTTGTGGTGGTTGTGGTGGTGTTTGTGGTTGTCGAGGTTGTGGTGGTCGTGGTGGTGGAGGTTGTGGTGGTGGTTGTGGTGGTTGTGGTGGTTGTGGTGGTGGAGGTTGTGGTGGTGGTTGTGGTGGTTGTGGTGGTGGAGGTTGTGGTGGTGGTTGTGGTGGTTGTGGTGGTGGTTGTGGTGGTGGAGATTGTGGTGGTTGTGGTGGTTGTGGTGGTGGATATTGTGGTGGTTGTGGAGGTTGTGGTGGTGGTTGTGGTGGTTGTGGTGGTGGTTGTGGTGGTGGTTGTGGTGGTGGAGGTTGTGGTGGTTGTGGTGGTGGTGGTTGTGGTGGTTGTGGTGGTGGCGGTTGTGGTGGTGGTTGTGGTGGTGGTTGTGGTGGTGGAGGTTGTGGTGGTCGTGGTGGTGGAGGTTGTGGTGGTTGTAGTGGTGGTTGTGGTTGTGGTGGTTGTGGTGGTCGTGGTGGTGGAGGTTGTGGTGGTTGTGGTGGTGGTTGTGGTGGTTGTGGTGGTGGAGGTTGTGGTGGTTGTGGTGGTCGTGGTGGTGGAGGTTGTGGTGGTGGTTGTGGTGGTTGTGGTGGTCGTGGTGGTGGTTGTGGTGGTGGTTCTGGTGGTTGTGGTGGTGGTTGTGGTGGTTGTGGTGGTGGTTGTGGTTGTGGAGGTTGTGGTGGTGGTTGTGGTGGTGGTCGTGGTGGTGGTGGTTGTGGTGGTTGTGGTGGTTGTGGTGGTGGAGGTTGTGGTAGTGGTTGTGGTGGTTGTGGTGTTATGGTGGTCGTGGTTGTGGTGGTGGTTGTGGTGGTGGAGGTTGTGGTGGTTGTGGTGGTTGTTGTGGTGGTGGTGGTTGTTGTGGTGGTTGTGGTGGTCGTGGTGGTGGAGGTTGTGGTGTTATGGTGGTCGTGGTTGTGGTGGTTGTGGTGGTGGAGGTTGTGGTGGTTGTGGTGGTTTTGGTGGTCTTGGTGGTTGTGGTGGTTGTTGTGGTGGTGGTTGTGGTGGTTGTGGTGGTGGTTGTGCAGGTTGTGGTGGTGGTTGTGGTGGTTGTGGTGGTGGTTGTGGTGGTGGTTGTGGTGGTGGAGGTTGTGGTGGTGGTTGTGGTGGTTGTGGTGGTGGCGGTTGTGGTGGTGGTTGTGGTGGTGGAGGTTGTGGTGGTGGTTGTGGTGGTTGTGTTGGTGGTTGTGGTGGTGGAGATTGTGGTGGTTGTGGTGGTTGTGGTGGTGGAGATTGTGGTGGTTGTGGTGGTTGTGGTGGTGGTTGTAGTGGTGGTTGTGGTGGTGGAGGTTGTGGTGGTTGTGGTGGTCGTGGTGGTGGAGGTTGTGGTGGTGGTTGTGGTGGTTGTGGTGGTCGTGGTGGTGGTTGTGGTGGTGGTTGTGGTGGTTGTGGTGGTGGTGGTTGTGGTGGTTGTGGTGGTGTTTGTGGTTGTCGAGGTTGTGGTGGTCGTGGTGGTGGAGGTTGTGGTGGTGGTTGTGGTGGTTGTGGTGGTTGTGGTGGTGGAGGTTGTGGTGGTGGTTGTGGTGGTTGTGGTGGAGGTTGTGGTGGTGGTTGTGGTGGTTGTGGTGGTGGTTGTGGTGGTGGAGATTGTGGTGGTTGTGGTGGTTGTGGTGGTGGAGATTGTGGTGGTTGTGGTGGTTGTGGTGGTTGTGGTGGTGGTGGTGGTTGTAGTGGTGAAGGTTGTGTTGGTCGTGGTGGTGGTGGTGGTGGTGGACGTCACCTCCAGTTCTTGGTGTGTGGTGGGCCCTCTTCCAAGCGAAGCAGAGCAAATCGAGCGGCACTCAGGGACAGCCCGCGGATCCCATCACCCCACTCCTTCTCCGCCCTGCACCACCACAACAACAACAACAACCACCACAACCACCACATTACCCGTGTGTCCAGTGAGTGGGTGAGCGGGCGGGTGGGTGAGTGAGTGAGTGGGTGAGTGAGTGGCTGAGTGGGTGGGTGATTGAGTGGTTGGATGGGTGGGTGAGTGGGTGGGTGAGTGAGTGATTGAGTGGTTGGATGGGTGAGTGGGTGGGTGAGTGAGTGATTGAGTGGTTGGATGGGTGGGTGAGTGGGTGGCTGAGTGAGTGATTGAGTGGTTAGATGGGTGAGTGGGTGGGTGGGTGAGTGAGTGATTGAGTGGTTGGATGGGTGAGTGAGTGGGTGAGCGGGTGGGTGAGTGAGTGAGTGAGTGGTTGGATGGGTGAGTGGGTGGCTGAGTGAATGATTGAGTGGTTGGATGGGTGAGTGGGTGGGTGGGTGAGTGAGTGATTGAGTGGTTGGATGGGTGAGTGGGTGAGCGCGTGGGTGAGTGAGTGAGTGAGTGAGTGGTTGGATGGCTGGGTGAGTGGGTGGCTGAGTGAGTGATTAAGTGGTTGGATGGGTGAGTGGGTGGGTGGGTGAGTGAGTGATTGAGTGGTTGGATGGGTGAGTGGGTGGGTGGGTGAGTGAGTGATTGAGTGGTTGGATGGGTGAGTGGGTGGGTGGGTGAGTGAGTGATTGAGTGGTTGGATGGGTGAGTGAGTGGGTGAGCGGGTGGGTGAGTGAGTGGCTGAGTGGGTGGGTGATTGAGTGGTTGGATGATTGGATGGGTGGGTGAGTGGGTGGGTGAGTGAGTGACTGAGTGGTTGGATGGGTGGGTGAGTGGGTGGCTGAGTGAGTGAGTGATTGAGTGGTTGGATGGGTGAGTGAGTGGGTGAGCGGGTGGGTGAGTGAGTGGATGAGTGGGTGGGTGATTGAGTGGTTGGATGGTTGGATGGGTGGGTGAGTGGGTGGGTGAGTGAGTGATTGAGTAGTTGGATGGGTGAGTGGGTGGGTGGGTGAGTGGGTGGGTGAGTGAGTGATTGAGTGGTTGGATGGGTGAGTGAGTGGGTGAGCGGGTGGGTGGGTGAGTGGCTGAGTGGGCGGGTGATTGAGTGGTTGGATGGTTGGATGGGTGGGTGAGTGGGTGGGTGAGTGAGTGAATGAGTGGTTGGATGGGTGGGTGAGTGGGTGGCTGAGTGAGTGATTGAGTAGTTGGATTGGTGAGTGGGTGGGTGGGTGAGTGAGTGATTGAGTGGTTGGATGGGTGAGTGAGTGGGTGAGCGGGTGGGTGAGTGAGTGGCTGAGTGGGTGGGTGATTGAGTGGTTGGATGGTTGGATGGGTGGGTGAGTGGGTGGGTGAGTGAGTGACTGAGTGGTTGGATGGGTGGGTGAGTGGGTGGCTGAGTTAGTGATTGAGTGGTTGGATGGGTGGGTGAGTGGGTGCGTGGGTGAGCGGGTGGGTGGGTGAGTGACTGATTGGGTGGGTGATTGAGTGGTTGGATGGCTGGATGGGTGGGTGAGTGGGTGAGCAGGTGACTGAGTGAGTGGGTGAGCGAGTGAGTGAGTGATTGAGTGTTTGGATGGGTGGTAGAGTGGGTGAGCTGGTGACTGGGTGGGTGAGTGAGTGATTGAGTGATTGAGTAGGTGGATGGGTGGGTGAGTGGGTGAGAGGGTGACTGAGTGGGTGGGTGAGTGAGTGGTTGGAGGAGTTGGTGAGTGGGTGAGTGGATGAGCGAGTGAGTGGGTGGGTGGATGAGCGAGCGATTGGGTGAGCGAGTGGGTGAGTGAGCAAGCATGTGGGTGTGTGAGTAAGTTGGTGGGTGAATGGTTGGGTGAATGGGCGAGTGAGTGGGTGAGCGAGTGGGTGAGCGAGTGGGTGAGCGAGTGGGTGAGTGATTGAGTGGTTGGATGGGTGGGTGAGTGGGTGAGTGAGTGAGTGAGTGAGCGGTTGGATGGGTGGGTGAGCGGGTGAGCGAGCGGGTGACTGACTGAGCGAGTGAGTGAGTGAGTGATTGAGCGGTTGGATGGGTGGGTGAGTGGGTGAGCGGGTGACCGAGTGGGTGAGCCGGTGACTGAGCGGGTGGGTGAGTGAGTGAGTGGATGAGTGAGCGGTTGGATGGGTGGGTGAGCGGGTGAGCGAGCGGGTGACTGACCGAGCGAGTGAGTGAGTGATTGAGCGGTTGGATGGGTGGGTGAGCGGGTTAGCGGGTGGGTGAGTGAGTGAGTGATTGAGCGGGTGGGTGAGTGAGTGGATGAGTGAGCGGTGGGATGGGTGGGTGAGCTGGTGAGCGGGTGGGTGAGTGAGTGAGTGATTGAGCGGTTGGATGGGTGAGCGAGTGGGTGAGCGGGCGAGCGGGCGAGCGGGCGAGCGGGCGGGCGAGTGTCGCTCACCCGCGGTATTCGATGTACTTGTAGATCATGCCAGCGATGGTCATGGCGACGAGTGCGTAGTACCAGGACGAGATGAACATCAGCGAGAGGCAGATGCTCATGCCCAGGAACGACAGTGCCCTGCAACAGCCACACGAGCGGACACCCACAGCTACAGATTCCCCCAGGGGATACTCGGGGTGGTGGTAGTGGGGTGGTGGGCGGTCTATGAGACCCGCCGGTTAGGGCCGAGCGATCAATCGATTTGAAATCGGCGCTTTGAAATCGACGCGTTAAACTTTCCAATCGGAATTGGTTTCACGCGCGTTTTAAAAAAAAAAAATTAATAATTTATTTTTTTGTATTGCTCGGTCAAGTCGCGTGGATATATATAAAAAAAAACGGTAAATGTATCGATCGCGACGTTTCCATCGCGACGCAGGCGATCGTCTCGGCCGTGATTACCTGCGGTCGCGAAAGATTTCGACCGAACAATCGTTCCAGGAAAATACCCCTTCGGGTTTTTTTCCGTAGAAAAATTAATAATAATAATGATGAAAAATAAAATTACGTAATAGCATACCGGCGTTTCGATTGCAACATAAGCAATCATCATCAGGTGCAGAAGAGCTACATTTAAGAAGGGAGAGAGAGAGGAAACACAGAACCGCAGAGAGATATATATGCACACGGACCTTAAGTTGAGGGAATTAACAGAGACACGCCAGGGGACACACAGAGAGAGAGAGAGAGACGGAGGAGGAGCACACTAAATCAAAACAGGGTTTTAGCAACATTTGGAAACTACGCAAAGCAACATAGACGGTGGGTTAAAACACAAGTTAACGCATGGCCCGGTTGATTACGCTATTTCAAAGATTGCGAAATTGTAAGCTGAGCGTGAACTTTAAGAGGGTGATGGAACACAGAGCGTAAGGGGACACGTGGGGAGAGACAGGCACAAGACGCATCTCTGTGATGACGCCTTAAGTAGGCAGAGACTGTGGGGCTGTGTCTGTATATAATCGATTTCAAATCGATATATCTCTCTGCGGTTGTGTGTTTTCTCTCTCTCTCTCTTAAATGTAGCTCTTCTGTACCTGATGACGACTGCTTGTGTCGCAATCGAAACGTCGTACGCTATTATGTGATTTTATTTTTCATCGTTATTATTATTGTAATTATTTCTACGTGACTTTACCGCAAAAAACAAAACCTGCAGTAGCGAAAGCAGCTTATCAAGTTCCGGGAAAATGTTTTCAACGAACAACATTTTCATGGGTACACGCTGGCAGAGAGCCACGTCTGATAGGTCCTCATCCTTGCTTTGGAATGAAAAGAGGAGCTTAAATGACGACGGTGTCACGTGGTGATGCTCCGTCACGTGTGTGAAATCAATTACAACATCGACAATTGGACTGATGCGATCGCAGATCAAATCGCAAACGCAACATCCGTCAGAAACATCGACGTTTGATATTTCCCCCAAAAGCGTTCAGCCGTGCTGCCCGTGCTGAGCGGAATCGCCGCCGCCGCCGCCACCACCACCAACAACACCAACAACACCACCGCCACCGTCACCACCACCACCGCCACCACCACCAACAACACCATCACCACCACCACCACCGTCACCATCACCGCCACCACCGCCACCACAACTACCATCACCGCCACCACCGCCACCACCACCGCCACCAACAACACCACCACCGCCACCACCAGCACCATCACCGCCACCACCACCGCCACCGTCACCGCCACCACCACCACCACCGCCACCATCGTCACCGTCACCGCCACCACCAGCCGCTGCTGCACCTCTGCCACTTCCCCAGCCACCACGGCCTGAAACCACAACTAGGGGCCCTGCCTCTCTCCTCATCAGCCTGGCAAGGCCGGGCGAGTTGGTGGGTGAGTGGGTGGGTGGGTGAGTGGGTGGGTGAGCGGGCGAGTAGGTGGGAGAGTGGGTGAGTGGGTGGCTGAGTGGGTTGGCGAGTGAGCGGGCGAGTGGGTGGGTGAGTGAGTGAGTTTAACCTGCGGGCTGGATTAAATGGAGGAGCTCACAAATCCTTGAAAGATCTGGGCAAGGTCCCATCGGTGAGCTCCTCCGGCAGGCAAGGCTGCGTTGGCTGGGTCATGTAGCCCGCATGCCCAGCCACCGCATGCCGAAACAGCTTTTGTTCGGCCGGATCGAGGGGGCTAAACGGGCGCGGCACGGGCTAGAGAAGAGATGGAGTGATGTAATACAGGAGGACTTGGAGCGGAGTGGACTTGCCGATGACCGGTACCAGCAGTGTCAAGATCGGCCTCTGTGGAGGAGGCTCGTGAAGGACGTTTCTGCTACTGGGCAGTGTCAGACTAGGTGCATAGTGAGGCTACTGGGCAGTTGGAGGCAGTCGCCCTCCAACAACAACGGAGGGCGGAGGAGCGACGCTCACAACAACGAGCGGAGCGCCGGGTGGCTAAAGCACAGCGAGTTGGCACAGTAGTGGGCACAGGTGGTGCATCAGCCAGTCATCTCAGTCAGTCGACCCGTGGCACCTGGGTCTGCCCCGTGACCTCCTGCCAGCGGGCGTTCGACACTTCACGTGGCCTCAATGTGCACATGGCCTGGCACAAGCGTCGTGGTGACGTCACCGCCACTTAGTGGCGAATGGCGGTTGTTGTTGGTGGTGGTGTCACCAGTGGTAATATTTGAAGTGTGGTGGTTGTGGTGGTTGTGGTGTTGGTGGTGGTGGTTGTGGTGGTGGTTGTGGTAGTTGTGGTGTTGGTGGTGGTTGTGGTGGTGGTTGTGGTGGTGGTTTTTACATCACCAGTGGTAATATTTGAAGCGTGGTGGTTGTGGTGGTGGTGTTTGTGTTGTTGGTGGTTGTGGTGGTTGTGGTGGTTGTGGTGTTGGTGGTGTTGGTGGTGGTTGTGGTGGTTGTGGTTGCATCACCAGTGGTAATATTTGAAGCCTGGTGGTTGTGGTGTTGGTGGTTGTGGTGTTGGTGGTGGTTGTGGTGGTTGTGGTGGTGGTTGTGGCATCACCAGTGGTAATATTTGAAGCCTGGTGGTTGTGGTGTTGGTGGTTGTGGTGGTTGTGGTTGTGGTGTTGGTTGTGGTGTTGGTGGTGGTTGTGGTGGTGGTGTTTGTGGTGGTGGTTGTGGTGTTGGTGGTGTTGGTGGTTGTGGTGATTGTGGCATCACCAGTGGTAATATTTGAAGCGTGGTGGTTGTGGTTGTGGTGTTGGTGGTGGTTGTGGTGGTTGTGGTGTTGGTGGTGGTTATGGTGTTGGTGGTCGTGGTTGTGGTGGTGGTGTTTGTGGTGGTGGTTGTGGTGGTTGTGGTGTTGGTGTTGGTGGTGGTTGTGGTGGTGGTGGTTGTGGTGTTGGTGTTGGTGTTGGTGTTTTTGGTATTGGTGGTGGTTGTGGTGGTTCTGGTGGTTGTGGTGTTGGTGGTGGTTGTGGTGTTGGTGGTTGTGGTGGTGGTGTTTGTGGTGGTTGTGGTGTTGGTGGTGTTGGTGGTGGTTGTGGTGGTGGTTGTGGCATCACCAGTGGTGATATTTGAAGCGTGGTGGTTGTGGTGTTGGTGGTGTTGGTGGTGTTGGTTGTGGTGGTGTTGGTGGTGGTTGTGGTGTTGGTTGTGGTGTTGGTTGTGGTGTTGGTGGTGTTGGTGGTGTTGGTGGTGGTGGTTGTGGTGGTTGTGGTAATTGTGGCATCACCAGTGGTAATATTTGAAGCGTGGTGGTTGTGGTGTTGGTGGTGTTGGTGGTGGTTGTGGTGTTGGTGGTGTTGGTGGTGGTGGTTGTGGTGGTTGTGGTGTTGGTGGTGTTGGTGGTGTTGGTGGTGGTTGTGGTGTTGGTGGTGTTGGTGGTGGTTGTGGTGGTTGTGGTGGTTGTGGTTGCATCACCAGTGGTAATATTTGAAGCGTGGTGTTGGTGGTGTTGGTGGTGGTGTTGGTGGTGTTGGTGGTGTTGGTGGTGGTTGTGGTGGTTGTGGTGGTTGTGGTGTTGGTGGTGTTGGTGTTGGTGGTGTTGGTGGTGGTTGTAGTGTTGGTGGTGTTGGTGGTGGTTGTGGTGGTTGTGGTGGTTGTGGTTGCATCACCAGTGGTAATATTTGAAGCGTGGTGTTGGTGGTGGTGTTGGTGGTGTTGGTGTTGGTGGTGTTGGTGGTGGTTGTGGTGTTGGTGGTGTTGGTGGTGGTTGTGGTGGTTGTGGTGGTTGTGGTTGCATCACCAGTGGTAATATTTGAAGCGTGGTGTTGGTGGTGGTTGTGGTGGTGGTGGTTGTGGTGGTGGTTGTGGTGGTGGTTGTGGTGGTGTTGGTGGTGTTGGTGGTGGTTGTGGTGGTTGTGGTGGTTGTGGTTGCATCACCAGTGGTAATATTTGAAGCGTGGTGGTTGTGGTGGTTGTGGTGGTGGTTGTGGTGGTGGTTGTGGTGTTGGTGGTGGTTGTGGTTGCATCACCAGTGGTAATATTTGAAGCGTGGTGGTTGTGGTGGTGTTGGTGGTGTTGGTGGTGGTGGTTGTGGTGGTTGTGGTTGCATCACCAGTGGTAATATTTGAAGCGTGGTGGTTGTGGTGTTGGTGGTGTTGGTGGTGGTTGTGGTGGTTGTGGCATCACCAGTGGTAATATTTGAAGTCTGGTGGTTGTGGTGGTGGTTGTTGTGGTGGTTGTTGTGTTGGTGGTGTTGGTGGTGGTTGTGGTGTTGGTGGTGGTGGTGGTTGTGGTTGTAGCATCACCAGTGGTAATATTTGAAGCGTGGTGGTTGTGGTGGTTGTGGTGGTTGTGGTGGTTGTGGTTGCATCACCAGTGGTAATATTTGAAGCGTGGTGTTGGTGTTGTTGTTGGTGGTGGTGTTGGTGGTTGTGGTGGTGGTTGTGGTTGTAGCATCACCAGTGGTAATATTTGAAGCGTGGTGTTGGTGGTGTTGGTGGTGGTTGTGGTGGTGGTGGTTGTGGTTGTAGTGGTTGTAGCATCACCAGTGGTAATATTTGAAGCGTGGTGTTGGTGGTGTTGGTGGTGGTTGTGGTGGTGGTGGTTGTGGTTGTAGTGGTTGTGGCATCACCAGTGGTAATATTTGAAGCGTGGTGTTGGTGGTGTTGGTGGTTGTGGTTGGAGCATCACCAGTGGTAATATTTGAAGCGTGGTGTTGGTGGTGTTGGTGGTTGTGGTGGTGGTTGTGTTATCACCAGTGGTAATATTTGAAGCGTGGTGGTTGTGGTTGTTGTGGTGGTGGTTGTGGTGGTTGTGGTGGTTGTGTTATCACCAGTGGTAATATTTGAAGCGTGGTGGTTGTGGTGTTGGTGGTGTTGGTGGTGTTGGTGGTGGTTGTGGTGGTTGTGGTGGTGGTTGTGGTTGTGTTATCACCAGTGGTAATATTTGAAGCGTGGTGGTTGTGGTGTTGGTGGTGGTGGTGGTGGTGTTGGTGTTGGTGGTTGTGGTGGTTGTAGTGGTTGTAGCATCACCAGTGGTAATATTTGAAGCGTGGTGTTGGTGGTGTTGGTGGTGGTGGTTGTGGTTGTGGTGGTTGTGGTGGTGGTTGTGTTATCACCAGTGGTAATATTTGAAGCGTGGTAGTTGTGGTTGTTGTGGTGGTGGTTGTGGTGGTTGTGGTGGTTGTGTTATCACCAGTGGTAATATTTGAAGCGTGGTGGTTGTGGTGTTGGTGGTGGTGGTGGTGTTGGTGGTTGTGGTGGTTGTAGTGGTTGTAGCATCACCAGTGGTAATATTTGAAGCGTGGTGTTGGTGGTGTTGGTGGTGGTGGTTGTGGTTGTAGCATCACCAGTGGTAATATTTGAAGCGTGGTGTTGGTGGTGGTTGTGGTGGTGGTTGTGGTTGTGGCATCACCAGTGGTAATATTTGAAGCGTGGTGTTGGTGGTGTTGGTGGTGGTGGTTGTGGTTGTAGCATCACCAGTGGTAATATTTGAAGCGTGGTGTTGGTGGTTGTGGTGGTTGTGGTGGTGGTTGTGGTGTTGGTGGTGTTGGTGGTGTTGGTGGTGTTGGTGGTGGTTGTGGTGGTGGTTGTGGTGGTTGTGGATGTGTTATCACCAGTGGTAATATTTGAAGCGTGGTCTCCAGTTGGGGGTACGGAGCAACGTCTGCACCGCGCAGGCCAAGTTCACGAACATGTAGCACATGAGGAAGAACCTGCAACCACAACGCAACCACAACGCAACCACAACGCAACCACAACGCAACCACAACGCAACCACAATGCAATCCACATCGCAACCCACATCGCAATCCACATTTAGCGTGTGTGTGTGAGCATGCGTGTGAGCGTGTGTGTGTGAGCGTGTGTGTGAGCGTGTAGCGGGTGTGTGTGTAGCGTGTGAGCGTGTAGCGGGTGAGCGTGTAGCGGGTGAGTGTGTAGCGGGTGTGTGTGTAGCGGGTGAGTGTGTAGCGGGTGAGCGTGTAGCGGGTGAGCGTGTAGCGGGTGAGCGTGTAGCGGGTGTGTGTGTAGCGGGTGAGTGTGTAGCGGGTGAGCGTGTAGCGTGTGAGCGTGTAGCGGGTGAGCGTGTAGCGGGTGAGCGTGTAGCGTGTGAGCGTGTAGCGGGTGTGTGTGTAGCGTGTGAGCGTGTAGCGGGTGAGTGTGTGGGTGAGCGTGTGAGCGTGTAGCGGGTGAGCGAGCGAGTGTGTAGCGGGTGAGTGTGTAGCGGGTGAGCGTGCGGGTGAGCGTGTGGGTGAGCGAGGGAGCGTGTAGCGGGTGAGCGTGTGGGTGAGCGTGTGGGTGAGCGTGTAGCGGGTGAGCGTGTGGGTGAGCGTGTAGTGGGTGAGCGTGTAGCGGGTGAGCGTGTAGCAGGTGAGCATGCTGGTGAGCGTGTGTGTGAGCGTGTAGCGGGTGAGCGTGTAGCGTGTGAGCGTGCGTGTGAGCGTGTAGTGGGTGAGCGAGCGAGCGTCTCACATGGACAGGATGGGAGCGACGACGTCGAGTGACGCAATGATGATCCCGATCTCGGCGATGCAGGCGGTGAGCAGCAGAGCCCACGTGGGTTCCCCATTCGCCTTGCCGTGGCCAAACACCTGCAGAGACACCATCGGAGACAGAGACAGAGACAGCATCGGAGACAGAGACAGAGACAGAGACAGCTTCAGAGACAGCTTCAGAGACAGCTTCAGAGACAGCTTCAGAGACAGAGACAGCTTCAGAGACAGCTTCAGAGACAGCTTCAGAGACAGCTTCAGAGACAGAGACAGCTTCAGAGACAGCTTCAGAGACAGCTTCAGAGACAGCTTCAGAGACAGCTTCAGAGACAGCTTCAGAGACAGCTTCAGAGACAGAGACAGCTTCAGAGACAGCTTCAGAGACAGCTTCAGAGACAGAGACAGAGACAGCTTCAGAGACAGAGACAGCTTCAGAGACAGAGACAGCTTCAGAGACAGCTTCAGAGACAGAGACAGCTTCAGAGACAGCTTCAGAGACAGCATCGGAGACAGAGACAGCTTCAGAGGCAGAGACAGCTTCAGAGACAGCTTCAGAGACAGAGACAGCTTCAGAGACAGCTTCAGAGACAGCATCGGAGACAGAGACAGCTTCAGAGGCAGAGACAGCTTCAGAGACAGCTTCAGAGACAGAGACAGCTTCAGAGACAGCTTCGGCATGAGTAAGTGAGTGAGTGGGTGAGTGGATGAGTGAGTGAATGAGTAAGTGGATGAGTGAGTGAGTGAGTGGATGAGTGAGTGAGTGGGTAAGTGAGTGAGGGAGTGGATGAGTGAGTGAGTGAGTGGATGAGTGGGTGACTGAATTATTGAATGAGTGAGTGGATGAGTGAGTGAGCGAGTTAGTGGGTAAGTGAGTGAATGAGTGGGTGAGTGAGCGAGTTAGTGAGTGAGTAGGTGAGTGGGTGACTGAATGATTGAGTGAGTGGATGAGTGAGTGGGCGGGTGAGTGAGCGGGTGAGTGGGCGGGTGAGTGAGCGGGTGAGTGACCGGGTGAGTGAGTGGGTGAGTGACCGGGTGAGTGAATGAGTGAGCGGGTGAGTGAGTGGGTGAGTGGGTGACTGAATGATTGAGTGAGTGAGTGGATGAGTGAGTGGGTGGGTGAGTGACTGGGTGAATGACCGGGTGAGTGACCGGGTGAGTGAGCGGGTGAGTGAGCGGGTGAGTGAGCGGGTGAACGAGTGGGTGAATGATTGAGTGAGTGAGTGAGTGGATGAGTGAGTGGGTGGATGAGTGAGTGGGTGGGTGAGTGACCGGGTGAGTGAGTGAGTGAACGAGTGAATGATTGAGTGGCCGAGTGAGCGACTGAGTGGGCGAGTCGATGGCTAGGTGATTGAGTGAGAGAGCGGGTGAGTGACCGGGTGAGTGACCGGGTGAGTGACCGGGTCAGTGACCGGGTGAGTGAGCGGGTGAGTGACCGGGTGAGTGACCGGGTAAGTGATCGGGTGAGTGAGTGGGTGAGTGACCGGGTGAGTGACCGGGTGAGTGACCGGATGAGTGAGTGGGTGGGTGAGTGACTGGGTGAGTGAGTGGGTGAACGAGTGGGTGAGTGAGTGGGTGGGTGAGTGGGTGAGTGAGCGACTGATAGGGCGAGGCGATGGCTAGGTGATTGAGTGAGTGAGCGGGTGAGTGACCGGGTGAGTGAGCGGGTGAGTGAGCGGGTGAGTGAGCGGGTGAGTGAGCGGGTGAGTGACTGAGTGAGTGAGCGGGTGAGTGACCGGGTGAGTGACCGGGTGAGTGAGCGGGTGAGTGAACGGGTGAGTGACCGGGTAAGTGACCGGGTAAGTGACCGGGTGAGTGACCGGGTGAGTGAGCATGTGAGTGAGTGGGTGAGTGACTGGGTGAGTGGGTGAGTGACCGGGTGAGTGAGCGTGTGAGTGAGCGGGTGAGTGAGTGGGTGAGTGAGTGGGTGAGTGAGCGGGTGAGTGAGCGTGTGAGTGAGCGGGTGAGTGAGCGGGTGAGTGAGTGGGTGAGTGAGCGGGCGACCTGCAGGAAGGGCACGACGTTATCCTTGGCGATGGCCTGCAGGAGGCGCGGGGCCCCAGTGAGGCTCTGTAGGCCGGCTCCGCACGTGGAGAAGAAGGAGCCGATGACGATGACCCACGGGGAGGGCCAGGCCAGCGTGGCCACCACCAAGTTGCCGTTCACTCCCTCGCCAAATCTACATCACCACCACCACAATCACCACCACCACAATCACAATCACCACCACCACAATCACCACCATCACCACAAATCACAATCACCACCACCACAATCACCACCACCACAATCACCACCATCACCACAATCACCACAACCACAATCACCACCACCACCAAGTTGCCGTTCACTCCCTCGCCAAATCTACATCACCACCACCACAATCACCACCACCACAATCACCACAATCACCACCACCACAATCACCACCATCACCACCACAACCAAGTTGCCGTTCACTCCCTCGCCAAATCTACATCACCACCACCACAATCACCACCACCACAATCACAATCACCACCACCACAATCACCACCATCACCACAAATCACAATCACCACCACCACAATCACCACCACCACAATCACCACCATCACCACAATCACCACCACCACAATCACCACCACCACCACAACCAAGTTGCCGTTCACTCCCTCGCCAAATCTACACTACCACCACAATCACCACCACCACCACAATCACCACAATCACCAGAATCACAACCACCACCACAATCACCAACACCACCACAATCACCACCACCACCAAGTTGCCGTTCACTCCCTCGCCAAATCTACATCACCACCACCACCATCACCACCACCACAATCACCAGAATCACAACCACAATCACCACCACCACCAAGTTGCCGTTCACTCCCTCGCCAAATCTACACCACCACCACCACCACAATCACCACCACCACAATCACCACCACCACAATCACCAGAATCACAACCACAATCACCACCACCACCAAGTTGCCGTTCACTCCCTCGCCAAATCTACATCACCACCACCACAATCACCACCACCACAATCACCAGAATCACAATCACCAGAATCACAACCACCACAACCACCACCACCACCACAACGACCAAGTTGCCGTTCACTCTCTCGCTAAATCTAGACCACCACCACCACCACTACAACAACCACCACAGCCACCAACACCTTCTGGAGGTGCTGCTGTTCACTAACAGCACTTCCTCGCATCAACCTGTGTGTGTCTGTGTGTCTGTGTGTGTGTCTGTGTGTGTCTGTGTGTGTCTGTGTGTGTCTGTGTGTGTGTCTGTGTGTGTGTCTGTGTGTGTCTGTGTGTGTCTGTGTGTGTGTGTCTGTGAGTGTCTGTCTGTGTCTGTCTGTGTGTGTCTGTGTGTGTGTCTGTGTGTCTGTCTGTGTGTGTCTGTGTGTGTCTGTCTGTGTGTGTCTGTGTGTGTCTGTGTGTGTGTCTGTGTGTGTCTGTGTGTGTCTGTGTGTGTGTCTGTGTGTGTCTGTGTGTTTCTGTGTGTGTGTCTGTGTGTCCGGCAAAAACAACCCCCTACCTCCTCGCGGTGCCGGACGGGCAACTCTGTCGTGGACAGTGCTGTGGGGGGAGATCCAATTTTGATTGGCTCTTCCCCTCATGGCATATGTGTCCACCACAGGGGCTAAACGGGGGCTCTGGACGGGTGCGAGGGGCTGGTAACCCCTCCACCTTCAATTAATTACCACGAAACCACGAGTTAAACTGAAATATGTAACTAATAAGCTTGTGTCGGAGGCCCCGGGGGGGGGGGGGGGGCAGGCGTCTATGATGTCTCCTGGCCAAACCCCAATTGGCGGAGCCAGGAGATTGAATACCTACCCTCGGGGCTCCTCCAGAAACAACGAAAAGCCACTACGGGTGGCCACGTGGAATGTTTGAACGCTCACTGTGGAGGAGAGGCTGCCACTCCTCTGTCGGGAGCTGGAACGGTACCGCCTGGATCTATGCGCCATTCAGGAGGTCCGGCGGACCGGCTCTGGCTCCTGCCACCATGAGGGGTGGACAGTCCTCTACTCGGGGCAGCAGACTGCCAAACAACAGGGTGTGGCTCTTCTTTTGAACAAAAGAATGAAGGGGGCGTGGGAGCGTGGCGGTGAGGTGTGGGAAGCTGTAAGCCCCAGGCTACTTTGGGCTCGCCTTCCCATCAACCGGAGGCGAGGAATGGTGGTCGTGGTTACTTATGCCCCCACCGAAGATGAACATCCGTGGAGGGATGCAGGCAAAGCCGATGAGTCAGATGCCTTCTATGACCTCCTGTCACAGGTGCTGGCTAAAGTGGCCCCTCGGGATAGAGTCATCATGTTGGGTGACTTCAATGCCCGAGTTGGTCATGATACTGGCACCTGGTCTGGAGTGATTGGAGGGCATGGGCCAGATCAGCTCAATAACAACGGTAGGAGGATGCTATATTTTTGTGCAGCCCATGGGCTTGTAATTACCAACACGCTGTTCCGGCATCGGTGCATCCACACAACATCATGGATGCATGCCGGGTCCAAGCAAGAACATCTGCTGGACTACATAGTGACGGACCAGCGGATGCGAGCCCATGTCCTTGACACCAGGACCTACCGTGGAGCTGATCTGCCCTCTGACCATCGACTAGTCATCTGTAAGATGCGCCTGCCATTCTTCCACTCCGGTGGTGGGTGTACACCCAGGACCCCATTCCGACCTAAAGTGGCCTGGTCTCAGTTATCTGATGAAAGTTGCAAGCGAGAATTTCATCATCGCTTGCGGCTAGGATTGGCATCGTCCCCGACTCCTCCTGATGTCGAGGGTAAATGGGCGAGGTTTAGGACTGTGACTCATGCAGCTGCAATGGCTGCTTTGGGTACGCGGTCCAGACTCCCCAGAGACCCTGGCTGACAGAGGAGGTGTTCAGGATGGTTGAGAAAAAGCGACAGGCCCACTGCCATCGGCTACAGAATCCCACGTCAGAGAATGAGGAGGCTTACCGCAGCCTTCGCTTGGAGGTTCGGAGAGCCGCGAGGCGTTGCAAGGATGGGTGGTGGTCGCGGGTTGCTGAGGAGATGGAGTCTGCCTCAGTGGCCCGTGATCACAAATCTCTATTTAACTCCATCAAAAAAGTAACCTGCAGCACCACACCTATTACCATCATTAGGGGAAAAAACGATGATCCAATCTCCGACCCCCAGGAACAAGTTTGCAGATTTGCTGAGCATTTCTGTGAGATCCTGAGGGAGGGAAAATCCCTCAGCCAGGAATACATCGTGGCACAAAGTGAGGATGACCCTGCTGAGGCTGCGGTGCCTCAAATATTGGAAGAAGTCACCCCCTGTGAGTGGCTGGCTGAGGTGCCATCTGTTGAGGAAGTACTGAAGGCGATCCGGAGTCTGAGACCAGGAAAGGCAGCGGGCAGAGATGATCTCCCAAGCAAAATGCTGAGGGAGGGTGGCGTTTGTGCACAGACTGCCCTATATGACATCATAACAACAGTCTGGACCACTGGACGGGTTCCGCAGGATTGGAAGGATGCCCTGGTGGTCCCCCTTTTTAAGAAGGGGGACCACACAGACTGTAACAACTACAGGGGCATCTCACTCCTCAGTGTGCTGGGAAAGGTCCTGGCAAGGATTATTTAACATCGCCTTGCCAGG